ACCACACGAAGCCATCACAGTTAGTTCATATGGTTTAACCTGATCCATTTTTATAAACAAGGAAAATGGAAATTCAGAGAATTTTATATATACAACCCTAGGAAACACAGCTGGGGAGCAGCAGAGGCAAGTTTGATCCCAGCAATTGCTAGACAGCAATTCATTCTTTTATTCGTTCTGCACCTGTTTGTTTTAGCACCACCTATTTGCCAGGTGCTCTGTTCAGCACTAGAAATAAAATATAAAACAAGTCAGATGAGGTCCTGCCTTCATGATGGATCTACTGGTTAAAAAAACAACACAAAACAGCAGAGACCAGTCCTGAATAGCTGTCCAGTAGAAATATAATGTAAGCCATTTATCATCTTAAATTTTCTGGTAGTACTTCGAATAAGTAAAAAGATGAAATTAATTTTAATAATTATCTTATTGCAATCAGCATGTCTAAAGTATTGCAACATGAAATCAATATAAAATTATTCATGAGATTTTACACTTTTTTTTTTCATACAAAGTCTTCCAAATCCAGTTGTGTCATGCCCTTTTGGCACATGTTTATTCACACTAACCACATTTCAAAGGCTCCATAGCCATCTGTAGTTGGTGACTACTGTATTAAAGCAGATCTAGAAAGAGCTTGATTCTGACCCAATTTTTTTTGTGGTGATAATATAGGAAAAACAGTCCACCATGTTTTTCCATGTTGTTTCTGACCCACATACACCAACCATTCATAGGACACAAAATATAAGCGACAGAGAAACATTTCTTTCACCTGGGACTTCAGCTTCATACACCTGAGGCTGTAGGTACCAAAGGAAACTTGTATGTATGTGCATCACATAATTTACGTATTTTCTGTTATGTGTGTCACTGATTAAAAACAGCTTGGCACTTTACAATCAATGGACAATAATAATACAAAAAGGGATCCTCTGCAAACCATCAGAGCCTTCCCTACATCCACGTTTTGCCAGCATATCCTCGTGTGTTTATTGCTCCTGATGGAAATATCGAAGATGTAATTCGAAGCTTAGCAGCAGCCAGAATTTCTGACACTTTATCTGGTCACTAAAAGTTTGTAATCAATTTTTGAGAGATAAAACAGTGATAAGATTTTACTGTTTAATACAAGTGCCCAGCAGGTGTTAATAGGGTCCAAGCAGTGGGGTGTAGAATGGTTTTTCCCTGGGTAAAGAATTTTTCTCTGGAGTAAAATTTAAGTGGGAAGAAAGCCTGTGGAAATATGGATTGTCCTTCCTAGAAATTGGATGGTAGAATTGAAGGTAATAGGTTACTTGTTCCCTGCCAACTTCATAATGAAATTACCGTTGAGCAAAAGAAATTCTGTTAGAGGGCTTTTTCCCCTCCCAAGGGACAGAAGACTCTTAATAGGAAGAAAGCTAGAAAGAAAGGAAGGAAGGAAGGAAGGTAGATAATATAAACACTGAGTATATGGACTCATTGGCCCAGAATATTGAATCTTAAAGGAACACAGAACAATTGGAGTGTCATAATTTCCATACAGTTGTTTCCATATAATCTGAAGAAGAGAAATTGCATCTAAATAATGTCCCTGCTAATTCCATCTGATTTCACTACAAAATGGGAGGCAAGGGAACGAGTGGGGGAAACAGAAGTGGGGAATGAAAGAAGAAAGAGATTTAAGTAGATTCAACTGGCAAATCAGAAAAAGAGCAGGTGCTCGACAGGGCTTGCCAGCTCCTAGATGAAAGCAGTGACAGCGACATCCGTTCACACAACGTAACCCTGTGAATGGCTCCCCCTGGGCCAGGTGTCCAAGTCAAAACCCAAGGATTCGTTCCCTTGTCTGCTTTTCCAAACACATAATGAGCTACATATTTCCAAAGCTCTTGTTGATGGACTAAAGTTCTTGGTTTCACCTACATTTGGGGCATTAGGTAGACTGAACCTGAGCTCTAGTTACTTCAAGTTATTGTATAATCAAAACTTGGCTCAAGAGCTTATTGGATTACACTTAAAACAAACACAACCCCTCAGTGAATCAGCTGGCCTCACCATGAGTTTTAGACTGCAGATACAGAGCAACTTGGGGATGGATTTTTTTTGCCAGCCCAGATAAAGTCCACTGGTGGGCTTTGTCTGTGGTTTCTATGCTGAAACTCCATGGGCGGTGTTCCGTTGTGATGTTTCATGGGTCTACGCCCTTGGCTTTTCAGTTTCCTATGTACAGTGAGTCTCTCCTCTACTCAAAACCTTCCATGATCCTCACGGCCTTCTGAACAAAATCCAGACACTTGAGGCCCCTATACTCTGGCTTCAGAGAGGCTCTGTGGACGCATCCCACTACCTTTTGTTCTTACTAAGCTATTTCCTATGTCCTGTAGCATCTGTCACTTCCTTTGCTGACTCTTCTTTGTTGAAGGTGACTTCTCTGCTCCGAATATTCTTCCCCACCTCTCGTCAACCCCTTTGCTCCTGAAGATTCCCCAGGAAGCCCTCCCTACATCACCGAGCTTACGTTAGGGACCCTCCCTCCACGTTCTCACGACTCCTCCTATTTACAGAGCACCAGTACACGAGTGACCTTCTACGTGCTAGCAACGTTTGCGTGTCTATGTCACTGAATTGTGAGAATGGAAGGGGTGGGATGGGCACTGTGTTTTCTATTTTTGTATTTATAGGACTCGTCGTAAGGCCTGGCACATAATAGACATCCAGTAAATAGTTGTTGAATCCGTAAATTATCTTCCTGGGAAATGATCAGATGTACCAAATAGGATGGTGATTGCTCTTTGCCTCTTCCAGAAGAGCAGTGTTTGATTTTTTTTTTTTTCTGTGTTTAAACAAAGAGTATCTTTGTTAAAAATAAAAAGGATTTGCAGAAAATTTCGAGAGTACAAAGATAACACAAAAGAAAATAGAAAGTACCTGGAATCTTTCCAGGCATAGACAGACCCTATTTTTATCTTCTTTTCTGCTTGTTTAACAGTAAGCAGCGAGCATTATCTTCCTGCCATTAACTTTGCTTGAAAGACATGATTTTTTTAAGGACTCAAAGAGTCCATTGAATGGATACACAGAAATGTTCTTTGCCTTTCCCCCAGTTTCTTCACCTTGGAGACCTGATTCTTTCCCAGAGGACACAGTCAGGTCTTGTATACTGTGACTACCCAGGGGCAGACATGTGGTCAATCAGGCCAGTCACTCTACATGGAACTGTTTTTATAGTCTAGTCCTCTTCCTTAGTATTTTACCTCTTTGGCTGCTTTTGTTGTTAAGGGACTATAAAGCAAGAAAATGCTCCGGCTTTGAGATACCCTGCCTTTCTGGGGGTGTTTGATTGCTTTTATCCACCATACTGCATTTACTGACTATCTGCTAAGTGGTACGTTTTCCGGACATCTTTAACAGCGTCACATTTTTCTCAAGCTGAAAAGGAAATGTGAATCCCTGAGAACCTTCCCTCCCAAATTCTGATAGTGAGCTCTGTCTTGCCTCACATCAGAGCTGAGCTGGGCTCCAGGCAAGTGGTTTTGAGTAGGGAGGGTCGGAGATGGAGTATTGTGAGACAGACAAGCATCCCTTGTGATAACGATAACTGATGGATGTTGTATAGGGCAGACACTGAAGACCCATTGATGATGCTGCTCTCCTCCACCCTCACATCTGACCTGTCCCTTAACACCTGCTAAAAACTTCTCCACTGGGTCCTGTGTGTTGCTGCTCCTGCTCTTCCTTCTCCTCCTCTTTTGGGGTCAAAGCCAACATCATCTCTAACTTGGATTAATAAGAGCATTGTGACTGGTCCCCCACACTCACTGTGATCCTCTGCAAACCTGTTCTCTACACAACCTTCAAGTCTGATTATATCACCTGTTAAAATCTTCAGTGTCCTTCTATTGTCTTAAAGCAAAGACAAAACTCCTTAAATGGCCTGAAAAGCTTTGCACTGTCTGTCCCTATTCACCTTCTTACCCACACCACACCCCACACGCTCTTGGCTCTCTCTGCTTCGGCTGCACTGGTTTTCCACTCAGCCCTCGGTAAGCACTATCACAGAGCCTTTGCCCATGCTGCCCCTTTTTCTTGGAGTATGCTTATGTCTTTTCTTATCTAGTTAATGCTGCCTCATCCTTCAGGTCAAGCTGCACGCCCTTTTAGAAGCCTGGTCTGACCCCCACTTCACTTTCAGGGAGCACATACACCCACACCCCCACCATCGTAACACTTGTCACCTGTTGTTGTTTAATCATGAAGTCTTGTCTAAATCTTTGCAGCCCCATGGTCTGTAGCCCACCAGGATCTTCTGTCCATGGGATTTTCCGGGCAAGAATACTAGAGTGGATTGCCATTTCCTTCTCCAGGGGATCTTCCTGACCCAGGGATCAAACCCACGTGTCCTGCATTGCAGACAGATTCTTTACCACTGAGGCACCTGGGAAGCCCAACACTTGTCATCTATCTGTGATTAACCAATTAATGCCTGTCCTCTCTCAGACTATAAGCTTCTGGAGAGCAGGGATCATGTCTGTTTTCTTGTTTATCCCCAGCCAACACTGATTGCTGTCATGTAGCAAATATTTAATAAATATTAGTAGAATAAATAAGGAATTAGTGGGATATCATTTCTTTGATGTTGTATACCATGTGGCTTGTGAGCAAGCAGTTTCCTTTAGAGTAGCTTACTCAAACATGCTTTCAGATCCTCTTGTTAGAAGATCATTGAACAAAGGTCTGTAGTCTGACAGGACAAAAATGTTCCAACTCATCTGTTAATTGCAACCAGTTACTAAAGCTTATACAGGACTGGGGAGTCTGGGAGTGATTACAGACTCATAGAAGAGAGTGCATGGAGATTAGCAGAGCCTGCATGGGTACCAGCGCTTCCACAGGAGAGGCTGCTGGCAAAGAGTTTACACCTTCTCAGTGTTACACGGATGGTGGCATCTGCTCATGTGTCTGAAACCTCTTAGATTTTCCCCTAAACATTTGTCTTTCTCTCTTCCTTTCTCCAGATTTATGGTCAACGTGACGTGGGATGGCAAAGACTTGTCCTTCACTGAGGAAGGCTACCAGGTGCACCCCAGACTGGTGGTCATCGTGCTGAACAAGGACCGTGAATGGGAAAAGGTGAGCATCCTTCCCCGTGCCGAATGCAGGGGAGGCAGGAGAGTATGGGCAACAAGCCGGCTCAAACTCCTCCTTTTCGCAAAGCTTTTCCCCCTGAGCGGCTCCAGATGCCATCTCAGGACCCCACTGGGATCAAGACAGACAGATACTGTCAGATGCGATGGAGGTGCTTTCCCTGAGTAAACTCTGGCAGTTGTGTGTTGTTCTCTGCGTTGGGTTCACAAATCTGAGTAGGGAGCATCCTGGAAAGACTTGGAATAATTTAAAGTCAGTGGAGTTTGGTTCGCATCCTTACAGTAGCAAGTATTGACTCTCTGGCAGTGATCACACCAGCTTGTCTAAGCCTCATAACTTGGTACCGTAGTCACACATTTGGCCCTATGAGTGAACCCTCTATATCTTCATTTGTTTGGTCTTTTGCTTTGAGTCGAATCATTTCCAAAACTTAAACGTATCTGCTCTTCAAGTCATGGGTTGGAGAGGGATGTTCTGTTTCTTGTAAAGCACATTTTCCAGCGCATGTATGTTAACTATTAAAAAATATAGAAACTCAGTATATAGGAAAAGCTATCTAACATGCCACACACAAGTCGTGTCCTGAGTCAGAGAGGAGAGATTTCACAGGGAGTTTGGAGATGATTCTGTGCGTATAGTGGCAACATCTGGCCCAGTGGCATTCCTCCTCCCCCATAACTCAACTCTCAGCTCTCAAATTTGTCATCACAATATCACATATAAAGCAGAATAAAAGATAATGAAAAGGAAAAAGGACTAAATCATTATCACGTCTTTTTATACAAGCAGTGCCACGTCTCTGAACCACTTTAGCAGCCCAAGATTTGTCTTCACTTGGCACATCAGACCCAGGGGGAGGAAGACATGGGGTATAGTGTGGAAGTCATATCATAGTTAACTAGGATCAGAAGACAGTACTGTGCAAACAGAAGCTTTGCCTTTGGGGTAGGGGGCCAGTGACAGATTCCTGCGGGGTGGGGGGGGATGATGAAGAGGAAGCTTTGGAGTTTGTGCTGCTACATCCAGTAGCTACAAAGTTCACATTCCTTCCAGTGCACTTGAAACAGTGAACAAAGTAGACCATATGCTGGAGCCTAAAATAAGTCTCAGTATATTTAAAAGGCTTAAAATAAGCCCAGTGCATTCTTTGACCATAGCAGCATTGAAATAAAAATTAATGATAAGAATATATGCAGGAGACACATGTTCAATTCTTGTATCGGAAAGACCACTGGAAGAAAGAAATGGCAGCTCGCACTAGTATTCTTGCCTGGGTAATCCCATGGACAGAGGAGCCCGGTGGGCTACAGTCCATGGAGTCAGTAAAGAGTTGGACATGACTTAGCAACTAAACCACAACAATGAAAGCACAACATATCAAAATTTGAAGAATGAAGTTGATGACATGCTAAGAGGGCAATCTATAGCTTTCAATGCTTATAATTTTATAAAAAAGAAATTGTAAAGTCAATGATTTAAGCTTCTACATTAAGGCACTAGAAAAAAAATAGAGCAAACTAAATCCAAATGAAGTAGAGGAAGAATATAATAAGAGTAAAAATCAACAAAGTAGAACATAAAGTATTGAGAAAATCAACAAAGCCAATAGACAATCTGAATAGTTCCTGAGAAACTTGATTCAAAAGTAAAACCCTTCCCATTAAAAAAACAAAACTTCAGGCCTGAATGGCTTCAATGTAAATTCTATCTATCAAGTATTTTAAAAAGAAATAATGCAAATCTACACAGAGATTTTCAATGTTTTAGTAATCATAGTTCAGCAATATATTGGAAAAGGAAACTGCATATGGATAAGTGGGGTTTATTCTAGGAATGCAAAATTGGTTTAACATCAAAAAATAAATCAATATAATTTGCCATATTGATATAATAAGGAAAAATTATATAATCATCTCAACAGATGCAGACAAAGCATTTAACAAAATCTGATATCCGTTTTTGTTTTTTTTTTGACTGGAATATGATTGCTTTACAATGCTGTGTTGGTTTCTTCTGCACAACCTCATGGCCCAGCCATGTGTATACATGTGTCCCTCCCTCATGCGCCTCCCTCCCACCCCCTCATTCCCCACCCCAGGTCATCACAGGGCCCCAGGCTGAGCTCCGTGCTGGGCAACCACTTCCCACCAACTGTCTGTTTTACACATGGCATGTGAACCAGTAGCCATTCTCGATAAATAAGGGCCATTCCTCAATCTGATAAAAGTTATCTATGAAAATTCTATAGCTAATATCTTGTATAATGATGAGATAATGAAAATAGCTTCATAAATATATATTCAAATGATTTTTGATGAATAATTATAACAATGGGAGAGAGGAAAGCCTTTTTAATAAGTGCTGCTAGGTCAACTGGATATTCTTAGTGGAAAAAAAAAGCAAAACAAATAAAAAGCAACCTTGACTCAGCTCATACTATACACAAAACTTAAAATAAATTTCAGACTTAAATGTAAAATTTCTATAAGAAAAAATTAGGAAGATATTTTTGAGCTATATGAAAGCATACTGTAAAAGTAATAAACTGAACTCCATCAAAATTTAAATCTTTTGCCCATGTATAGACACTGTTGGAAAATGAAAAAGGCAAGCCACACATTCAGAAAAAATATTTTTAAAAAATTATCTGTATCAAAGGACTCATATCCAGAATATATAAAGAGCTCCTATAAATCAATAATAAAAAGAAAATCAACACAATTAAAATGGGAGATTGACTTAGGAATTTTACAAAAAAATTTAGTCAGATGGCCATTAAATACCTGAAAACATGCTTAACATCCATGATAATCAGAGACATGCAAACTAAAACCACAGTGAGCTACCACTTCATACTCCCTGCTTGGCTAAAGTGAAAAGGACCAGCAATACCAAGTGTTGTTACGAACATGTGGTGATTTGGTCTCAGTCATGTCTGACTCTCTGTGACCCCATGGACTGTAGCCCACCAGGCTCCTCTGTCCATGGGGATTCTCCAGCCAAGAATACTGGAGTGGGTTGCCATGCCCTCCTCCAGGGGATCTTCCCAACCAGGTATTAAACCCAGGTCTCTTGCATTGCAGGTGGATTCTTTACCATCTGAGCCACCAGGAAAGCACTTATGATCCAGCAGTTTCACTCCAGCAATTCACTCCTAGGTATTTACTCCTGGCAACCAGCTCTAGGGTTCTTGCCTGAAGAATTCCAGGGACAGAGGACCCTGGTGGGATACAGTCCATGGGGCCACAAAGAGTCAGACATGACTGAGTGGCTAACAGTATGATCCAGCACTCCTAGGTATGAGCCAGCAATTCCACTCCTAGGTATTTACTGCAAAGACATGTGAGCATATACCCCAAAAGTAATATTTGTGAGAGACATTCATAATAGCAAAACATCAGGAAGAAATCAAAGATTCATCAACAAGGATATAGATAAATATATTATATATATTCATAAAATGGATTGAAAATGAAAGTTGCTCAGTCCATGGAATTCTCCAGGCCATAATACTTGAGTGGGTAGCCTTTCCCATCTCCAGGGGATCTTCCCAACCCAGGGATCAAACCCAGGTCTCCCACATTGCAGGTGGATTCTTCACCAGCTGAGCCACAAGGGAAGCCCAAGAATACTGGAGTGGATACCCTATCCCTTCTCCATCAGATCTTCCTGACCCAGGAATTGAACCGGAGTCTCCTGCATTGCAGTCAGATTCTTTACCAACTGAGCTATCAGGGAAACCCATAAAATGGATTGCTACACATGAATAAGTTGTGAACTTGTAATACCCACAACAGTGTGGATGAATTGCAGAAGCATTACGTTGAACAAAAGAGGCCAGACACAGAAGATGATACTGTATATCATCTTCCATTTGTATGAAGTTCAAGGAGAGACAACACTAGTCTGTGGGGTCAGATATTAGAATGATGCCTGGAGGAGGGTGTGACAACCCACTGCAGGATTCTTGCCTGGAGAATCCCATGGACCAAGGAGCCTGGCAGGCTACAGTCCATAGGGTCACATAGAGTCAGACACAACTGAAGTGACTTGGCATGCGCACATCAGAATGATGGTTGCTTTTGTGGAGGAGAAAATTAATAGGAAAAATGCACAGGAAACTTTCTAGAGTTATGACAATATTCCCTGTTGTGAATGTTTGTCAAAATCCATCAAGACACCACAAAAGATTTGATTATTTTACCGCATGCCATTGTATCTTAATTAAAAGATATGTTTTGAAGCCATTCAAACTGAGATACCCTGTACAATTAATTACCAATGTTTACTGAGTTTTCATACTCAACTCCCTAACATGAGTACTATTGATGACACAAAGAACCATTGCTTATTGAACACTTGCACAGTGTTTCCTTTAGGTGGTACACCCAAGCTCTGAGTGACAACTTGGTTGATTCATACCTTCCACAAATGTTTATTCAGTGCCTGGTGTGTGTGCCAGGTGCCATTCTTGGTGCTTGGAATCTGTCAGGGAACAGAAGAGACAAGAAAGCAATTTCTGATTGACTGAGCTTAGATTCTAGTGTGTGTGGAGAGGGATGGGGTGGGGTTTTGTGCATTTTGGTGATGCTTCAGGACAGCATTGGATTTGGTCCCCAGGAGTTAGCTCCATTCTTCCCTCTGATGTACCCTATAGCCCGCTGTCCTAAGTGGCTCACATCTCCATGTCTGAGCTGGTTCCTGTATGCATCTGAAACCTTGAACATGCTTTTTATTTCTCTTTCCTATAATACTTCCCTGTATCCTCACTTTCTTTTATTCATCTCTCAAATTCTGGCTTCTCTTTCCTCTTGCAAATGGAAAGTCAAAATGCAAGTTACTTTTTTTTTCTTATCCATAATAGGAGGTAGAGAACTCAAGCCTGTCTGCCTTTGGCAGTTACACTTGTGGGTTTTTTTTTTCCACCTTTTGAAGTTAAAGAGTCGGAGGATCACTCTCAGAACTGTAAAATCATTCTCGTTGGT